TGAAAATTCCCCAATAAGTAGTTGTATAGTACAATCAAAATATACTGTGATTGCAAATGAGATGGATGATGAATCAATGTCCAACTGTAATGATGATAATAACGAAAATCAAGATGAGAATAATATTAACCTTGAATCTGTGGTGCTGCAAGGTACTTATACTCTGCATGTGTATGAAAAATTAAAAACAGAAATGTTTATTCATTTTTTAGATGCTGAAAGAACAGCACCTGCAATACGTGGTACACAGACAATGAGACTTAGCTATACCAAAATTGCATCAACTAATTCTCATTCGCAGTCAGACACTAGTTCAGACAGACACAATTCTTAGTAAGATTTAGGTCATCCTTGAAGGTTGTTGTGTAATTGCTTCGCTTTTTAGAATATTAACAACAAATTGTTCGTAAACAAAATATTCTACAGTCCATGATGATGGACATCAGCAACCAAACTAACGAAAAAAATACTCAAGTAGCAGCAGAAGATATTCAAGGGGTTGATTCTCTCTTTACTAACATTGCTAACTTGCCAGTCAACACAATGCCACAATTAGAAGAATTAGAAAATTATCTTTCTACTTCAGAAAAACTGGATAAAGCGGTAACAGTCTATTTACGAAAAATGTTGAATTGAGTAAATTATTGTACACAATTAAGAATGCTTTAGGGTTTTGTGCTCGCTACTCTTTCAGTAGGAAGCCACAATTTGCTGTGAGTACCTATGGTAAAGCGTCTATAAGATTTATTTACGTCATGTGAAACGTTACTCGCTGTACGAAGTCCTAAAGCACTCCATAAAACTAGGCAGCTATACTTACAAAAAATGTTCTTTAAGGCAAAAGAAATTTCGCAAATTGGTGGAGCAAACTTATACGAATTTATTTCTCGGTCCTGTCAAAAACTAATCACAAATCAGTTGTGGTGAGACATTCAGTTTTTTAGGCAGAAGACCAAAACAACCATTCCGCAATTTAAAGTTGAATGAATTATTAATAAGTAAGTTTTTTAATGTTTAATATGACTTGATAATTTTATTTATTCAATAAAACAATTTAAACAATCGACTATCAAGAAAGTGGAATTAAATATAACAAAATGGCTACGCAGGTGTCTGGAGAGAGGCAATAAACAAAATTAAATATATTTTCATTTTTTACTATTATTTACTATAAGAATGTAAGTTTATTTATTGCGATTGTTTTCTATTTATGTAAAATAAAATATTCAGGGTGTTGATATGTGCATTATTCATGTCAAAGGTCCATACTTTACTTAAAGCTGTACATTATATGTACGTACGATAAATGGGAAATATGTACGTACGCTGGCCGCTAAATTATGTACGTACATTACCAGTACACATGTGGGTGTCAAATGGAGTCATATGTACGTTACAATAGGAGGTACATAAGGCGTTGATGGACGTACAAATGTACATTGCGATTGGTTAATTAAGTATGTCTTATGCTACATACACTGTATGTACATATGCTATATGGGAAACGTGTTTTGGTTTTATCGGGGAACACCCGTAATCAAAACAAAGTTGCGATTTCGAGAATATGACGATAATCTGCGATAGGGTACCCGATAGAGGAAAAAGTAAACCAGTTCGTCCTAAGATATTGTGAAATGTAAAAAAAAACTAATCAGTGTACCCCCCTGTTTGAACCATAACGAATTGGAAATGGTGGTTAATTTCACAATCCATTTCTGTATTTTGACAAGTACGATCGTGACAAAAATCGTAAAAAAACCTTGAATTTGGAAAATAAAAGGAAGATCAAATTAAGTAGGTATATGCATTACATAAGTAATTGTGACATTGATCATTGATCCACATACAATATATCGACTGATGAACTTTTCTGGAAACAAATTTCAAATGATAGTCTTTATTCTAAATAACTTTGACCTTAACCCCAACGCATATCTCTGCTTAAGTAATCATTGTGAGTGCTAATTATTGTGATTGTTTATACGATACAGCAACCAAATACATTGTAGGTACATATAGGTACTCTTACGAATTATTTCGTTTAGCTCCTAGCCCTTATATTGTGTTAAGTAGGTACCTGTTATATTATATACTTATACCTACCTCTCCTCGAAAACGAAATATTTTTTCCATTCACGATCGTGGGGGCTCGCAAAAACTAACAAATTTCCACTTCGAAATATCACCCACGTTTTCCTAGGACACTGAGGTGTCAGAAATCGTTTTTTTTCCAGTAACATGTTGATGTAGTCCTATGGATCTTAAAAAATATGACCGGTTTGGATTTTGCAGGTCAAAATCCACAAGAAAAAGTATTTGCCTACGACTCCATTCGAAAATGAAAATGAGCTTGTCTGAATTTATCAAATTTGCTTAGTTATTAAACGCTACCGCATGTTATTTGTTTTAAAAAATATTTTTTAATAAACTCACAAAAAACACAGAAAACAAATTTCTCCCCCGAAAAGGTGGTGCGATCTTTGATGAAAATTTGTATTCCGATGGAGGCTTGAAATTTTTAAAATTTATACAACAAAAAGGATTATTTTTCGATTTTGGTACTGTTATAACGTAATTGCCACACTAGTTTTTGGGCGATTTGCGACACGCTTTTTTGACCACAATAGGTAATAGATACCTACTCAATTTGCTTTTATTTTGATCAGTACTTGTACTGCCAATGTCAGTTTACAACCCTTAATTTAGCGTAAAATTTATTTAAAAAAATTACATTGTAAACTAATACAAGAGAAAATCTTGCAAATACATTTTTATTGCTGAATTATTAAGGTGAAGGTAGAATAAACTAAACCTTACCTTCGTTGCTATATATGCCATCATTAGCTTCATTAATAAAACGTTTCGCGTCATCTTCGGCCAATATATTTTTGATTCTTTCATACGGTAGCCATCAGATTGTCGCTTTAAAAAAGTATAAGGAATAGGTAGAGTTGGCGCCGCTTTCCCCAAACCCGCCGCATAAACGGCCAACTAGCACAAGGTAAAACACAAAATAAATCCTTGAGAATCTTTCACAACGGTTGTTCGTTCTGGGTAAAATGGCCTTCTTGACTTCGGTGCACTTATCAAAGGTTGAGTGCCACTCAATTGCCAACTCAACTCTCTCCGCATGAAATTAAGAAGATACGGGGGGATAAAAACGAGTAGAAATCAAATTATGTACCAAAATAACTTCTGGTTTATTGTTATCCCCAATAGGATAGTTGATCTTACGAACACAAATGCGCACGTTTAGTGCCAAATACAAGTAAAACATATAAGGCGACGCTTACCTTAATTTAATAAGAAGTTATCCACAGAAGTGAGCTCAGTTCCCGGATCCATACATCTACCACCAAAAGAAAACTCCAAAACTGCAGAGCCCGGAATGCGATGAACTGAAAGCTCACAAGTACGATACTTAATCGGTTAGCCGCTTCAGAAGGAAGTAGAGGGTTGTCAATAGCATCTGCATACGTGGGTCTTATTCGTCACTTCACACAAGTTAATAAATATAGATATACTTACGTAATAGTATATTAAGTATGGAGAACGGTAAGGGATTTTTACCGTTCGAAGACAATTGTTTGGAGGAGGAGCGAAGCGACGACTCCAATTATTGTCTGAGAACGGTAACCCTTAACGTTCGACGTGCTTATAACATTTTTTGCGCGATCGAGATTAAAATTATAAATATGCACTAAATTAACGAGCAAAATAAATCGAAATGATCGAAGTGGTATGGTGTACATCACTAGGTAACCAGTCAAAATTGAAATTAATAATTTCATAAACTTGTGCATGTGCCGATGTAGTTTGCTAGCTTTGCACTTCCTTTATGACTTTATGAGCGAGGTATTCCCCGGTGGCCGAATGGTATGTCGAAGATTCTTTACAGAACAAAATTGTAATTGGAATGTGTTAAGAAAAACGAAAGCGCATCTTCAAACACATTGATCTCTATTGCTTCAGGTTTAAATGAAGAACGTGTTCTTTCTATAGGAAACAACAGCACAAATTGTGGGTTTAATGTAACAATAATTAAAGACTAAATGTTATGTAAGACTGTTGATTTTGAACTGATTGTTTTTAAAAAGGCTTCGGTAAGTATTTTTGCTGTTCTGTTTATAGATCGGTAAGTAATTTTGGCGTCGTCGTAATCATAGCAACTGGTAAATTCTACGTACTGTCATGGAAACACACATGGTAAATAGTCAGAAATGACCAATCGCGCAAAAACAAAGTTACATACTCACGCGCACCGATGGTGAATTTACTCCAAGGTTACTCACATTCGTTGTAAAACGTATCCGGAATAAAATGGTGTTGAAACTGGTCTTAAAACTTGGATTTGCAATTAAATTCGAACTAAAATCAAAAACCCTAAAAGAAAATCACAGGTAACCCTCTGCGTTGATAACCAAAAATGTACATACTTCTTTAATAATATAACAATATTCGCACTGACCTTTGCAGATTAGCAATATCTCAATTTGGTATACGATATCAGTCCCAATTTTTGTTTAATTGTCTCCCAGCTAATATGCAATCATTACCTTTCTCTACATTCAAATTAAAAATTAAACAACGCTATTAAGTAATGCTTTTTATTCGTTCGACGAGTTTGTTAGTTATTGTAAGTCTTCTCCGTTCATATAGGTACACAATGTGATTGTAACTATACGTCCGTTTTATTGTTTATGTACCTATCTTTGTTGACGAGTGTAAGTGTATAAACACAACACACAATAAAATATTATTATTATTATTATGGTGGGTGTTTCTTGTGAGAACTCAGGTCTAGCCTGGTTAACTAATCGCACGGATTAAAATCAAGTAACGATTAGTGTCTGTGTCTGGTGAAGTTATGTAGGGTCATTAAAAAAAAAAAAAAAAATCACACACGTACATTGGACATCTAGGGATAATGTAATTCGTACTTACCAACATACCTATTGATGGGCACAATAGCCAACGCTATCAGGAAAGAGGAAAACAAAACAAAACAAAAAATCATTATAATAATTCCTGTAATTTTATTAAATGGAGTTTATTGTGTAAGTGTTTCTTTGGCTTTGCGTTTGGGTTGAATACGAGTGGGTTGTGATAACGTGGTGTGTTTATGTGAAGAAGGAGTTTTGTGTTTTTTAATTGTATTTATGGTGTTTCTTTGTTCCTGAGGTCGTATTTGTGAGGTTGCTTGGGTTTTTGGTGGAGATATTGCAGTATTTTGTGAGCCTGTGTTAAGGTTTTTGCGTTTCGGTTGTATACGAGTGGGTTGTTTCTGAGAAGAAGGAGTATTGTGTTTTTTAACTGTGCTAGGGCGTGTAACTTTATTGGATGGACCTGTCTTATTATTATTATTATTATTATTATTATTAAAAAAGGACTAATTATAGATGAACTTGCAACAATCGTCAATGGAAAATTGTATATAAAATATCAGCCTACCTAAAGAAAAAAAATACACTTACGATTAGCCAGAAAAAAAACGCAATTATAATATTCTCCTATCCGACTTAAAGGCGAAATTCCTTCCACCAAATATTGCGGAATCCCTAAATCAGAATTCACTAGCCAAAGATTACTACACTAAGAATCGCGACAATTAAAATTCAATGGCGCGTTTTACTGTTTAATTAAAAATCTTGGAATCGAAAGATAACCAACGCGCGCTAAAACTGCGTGGTCAAAATTCCAACGATAGATGGAGTCGTCTATTTGAAGACTACGACTTTTTTCCAAAAGTAAAGATGAATTAAATATTGAACAATTGAAAGTATAATTCACGTATCACTACAGAGAGTAGTGTCACTACAGGGCTTTATGCTACTCTCAAATTCTCAAAGAATAAATTGAATAAAAGAGGGTAGGTACCTATTAGCTGAATTACAGACAGCCGAAGTGAGCGCGAAGTTGCTCTCTGGGCCTGATTCCTGAACCCGGAAAGTGA